AGCGAGGTATCCGAAAAAAGTTAATTGTAAAATTTATACTTTTCATTTATACGTATAATAGACTTTCAAAAGATATTATGTGCGAAAATCTTAATTTATAATAGGAACGTTACACGATATTGATGAATTCCCACGCTCCGAGTTTATACAGTACTGTTTATAGTACCGGTGTGACAAATAAAGTAGAAAATATTATTTATATGTAACATGTGATGTGAACAATTGTATAATGCACGTGATTTTTAATTTTTCACTATGTAAAAATCGTGTCACACCGGGTACTATAAACAGTGCTGTACGGTAGTTGATTGGCTGGCTTAGCCTGTCATGTCATGTGGTTTAATCATTATCAAAAAATCCACTTTTTTAAAAAAAACCAATGCCAAAATTTTAAATAAAAGCCACCTTCTGCGGCTTAATTGAAAATGTTTCTTGTGAAATTTTACTAATAAAGAGTAACTTGTTCTAACCCTAATCCTAACTATAATGTGCGTTTTGTTAGTACACTCTGATTTTGAATTTTGATTGGCCAAAAATTATCCGAGGGACGATTTTTCTAACCAACAGGTCTGCACATCTATAAATTTTATTATGTCAACTTTAACTAGTGAAAGTGAAGTGGAGGAAACCGATAGTGAAAATAGTGAAAATAGTGAAAATAATAAAAATGAGCAAATAGACGAAACATTTAATAGTGAAGACGATGAGGATGAAGATGTTGAATCATCCGATGATGACGATGATGGTTCGAAAATGGAGGGTATAGAGAATATTGTGTCAGCACAGGAAATGGATGAATCAGAAGATAGTGTTGATAGTGAGCAAGTAGAATCTAATGATGAAAAAATGGAAGAAGATAGCATAAAAATATCAAACAATAAGAAACAGGATCTTGCAACTCCACAACAGAAAGAATCGTTTTCTCAAGAAAAAAAAATGGTAATATATAAATTTTGAGAGATTGTTTATTTTATAAAATGGCGCTAAATTTTAATTGTTCTTAAAAAGATTAAAGATCCTGAACCAATACCATTATTGTCACGCCCGAATGCTGCAAATCAGTTTCGTGATTATTATATGTCACAAATTACAAAGGCTTTTGGTGAAGATTTAGATAGAATTCGAAAGGTAATTGATTTTTACATTTATTTTATTTTTAACTCCCATTAAGATATACTTATTATGTTTGGTATATTAAAGGACCAAAATCTTGATTCCAATCGATTAGAAATATTAATTAACTCATTAGAATCTGGTATTGGTGTTTTTTCGGACGTTGAAAAAGAATTGGCTTTATTATCTCATAATAATAAATGATGGTTCTCCAAGGTCTTAACTTACAACATACGCTTTAATTTATTTACTTTGTTTCAGAATTCAAGATTACAAATGTGCCGGTTTTTTTTTTTTTTTTTACTTCTAATTTCTATATCTGAATTTCGTTTCAATATCAAGTTGAGGTTCTTTATATTTTGATTATGAATTAACTTAAGACAGTTGCTGAAAAAAATTAAAAAAATAATTAAAAACTTATGTATTAATTATTTCAATATTGTATATCATGACAACTTACTCTTATATTAGAAACGTTAATAACTAATAAAGATTAGTAAAAAAATTAATAATAATCACAATCTCCTAAATCTCGCCTGAAGAAATTTCCTATCAACACATAAATCCTTTGCTCTATTAACAGTTTCTCTTGCGACATAACCACCATCAACAAATTCAAAGAAGCCATTTTTTTCAAATATTTCCTTTAAATATTCAAGAGTAAAAAAATAAGACATTGTTCCATCTTGTCTAACGTATAAATTTTCTTGTAATTTATGCTGAGCTGTTATACTTGAAAATCTAATTTCAGTTTCATCATTTTTTGCATAGTCACGAAAACATATTATTGATTCTTTTTTTGTAACCTTTTTCAATAATTAAAGAACATAATTTTATTTTAATAATAAGATTTATAAGAAAAAAAGTAATACAATAAAAGAAGTACTCTACTTACCTCTGATATATTACGAATTACAGTGTAATGATTTTCCGGTGGTATAGCTGACAATATAAATATTAATGAAACAACGTCTATATTTCCTGATGGTATATTGTCTTTCAAATTATCAGTTGTTAAATCGCAAACAAAGGCATGACATCTTGAATTATCATACTGTTCATGATTCTATTTGGACAATATTCAAATTAATTAAGCAAAAAAATAAAAAAAAAAGAATTCAATAAAATCGAAGGGAATTTGTAAAATTAATAAAAAATTTTAAAGAGAACAAAGGCTTGTATATGAGTGCCACCAAGGGAAAACCTGTCATTGGGTTTTCAATAATACTTGTACCGGACTCAACCCTAATAAATATATCCGGTGCGAAATATAATTGAAGCTCAATGACAGGTTTTCTCTTGACGGCACTTATATATAAGATTAAATCTCTTGCCTTAACGAATTCGATAGCACGTTTTGAAAAGTCACAGGCGTAAATAAAGAAATTAGGATTTGATTCTAAAACTGGAAACATAAAGTTTCCTACTCCACAACCTAATTCTAAGATGACCTTTTCCCCACAAAAGGTTAGAAATTATTTTTAAATCAACTTTGTTTAAATAGGTAGAATAAAAGAAATAAACTTAATTACTTTTCGTTCTTGCTTGAGATCGCTCTCAAATGAAAGTTCTGGAAACTCACGTCCAACCCAATTACGATTTTTAAAAAATTTAGTAGTATTTCTTTTATAAAATAAATCCCTATTCGATATTGATAACAGCAAAAAAGTTAGATGAGGAAGTTATTAAATTAATGATGTTATCGACGAGAAAGTTATTGGTTACTAATGAGATTATATGGATACCAATTCTTTGAAGCTTCTTTTTTATATTTATCGACCCAAAATTTTGGAACTAATTTTTCATTCTTTTCTTCATTTTTTGAAGTTGTATAGACATTTGATGATATATTATTGTCTAATTCCATTTTATCAACACGATTTATACATATAATTTATTTAAAAAGGTTATTAGTGATTAACAACGAAATTTTACAGCGTGCTTTTTATATTACTAAAAGTTACACCAACTAATTAATATGGAATGTGAATATTTGTTGAGCAATAACGATAACGATAAAAAATTTTTGATTAATTTAAAATAAAAAATTAATTAAAATATATATCTAACATATAGCTAATTATAAATTTAAGGACAAGCATATGCTCGTTCCTCAGGTGTACGTGGGATCCAACCTTCTCTGATTCCAAGCATAAAATCCCAATGAGGCGAATTTTCTGCTTTAAAATTCCAGAAAATCCAACCAATTCTAATAGAATAAAAAGTAATTTATTAGTGAGCTCGATTAAAAAAATGCGCAACATATAATAACTTTTACAAACACTTTACCCAGCTTCATAAGCATCCATTTGAGCTGACGCATATTGTTTTAGATAATTTTTATAATCATTCGCCCAATTCGAATAATTACCTTCACCTTGACACGTGCAGTTAGGACAAATAGGGCCACGATTTTTTTCATAAGTTCCATCATATCTAGCACCACGGCCAAAGCCATTTAACCATTTTGTGCAATCGGTTATAGCAAGGCTCCTATTCAAGTGATGGATAAGAAAATGGATTTGGATTTCATAATTTATATTTAGATACTATAACAAAATAAATAAATTCCTTAATGATTTACCATTCTCCAACCAATGTCCAAATTCCTTGATTAGAAGTAATGTCTGCTTTATTTGAACAGGAAAAATTCAATAGTCGCTGTTCGGGATTCAAAGCCAATAAAGAGTAGTCAAAAACTGCATAGCTATGAGTATCCAACACAACTCGATCGAACTCTGAAGAACTTAGAAAATTTTGCCATGTTTTTAAAGGTAAAAATGCAGTATGAAATACAACTAAAATATCGCTGTTCAAGTGACGAATAACTTTGTATGAATCTTCATAAAATTTTTGTGTTAAATTAAGTTGGTTACCACCCCAACTATTATACAAAATGATAACAAATTAACATTTTTTTATACTTAAATTTGAGAGAGAGGAATGATAAGCTACTTGCCAGGCGGGCTCATTAAGAACGTTGATGGCGGAAACAGTATTTTTGAATTCTGGGCTATTAAACTTTTCGGTCATGATTTTAACGGCTTTAATAGTACGTGGGATATTATCCGTTGAACTGGTTTGCCATCCGACAGGACCTCGCTTACCGCTATTGTCGAATCCATTCTAAATATAAACATAAATTGGTGAATATGTCGTAACCATCATAATGAAAGCTGACTTTCAATGATTTTATTAACCTGAGAGCCTGGTGCACCATGTAAATCGAGAACGACTTTTAAATTATATTTCTTGGCCCATCTGACTGCTTTCTGCAAATATTTGAAAGCACCCTTGACAAACGGTTCCTCTGGCGTCTTATCAAAGGCCCAATAACCGACGGGTATTCTATCAATACGTTAAAGAGATCATGTGGCAGACAAATATATTGCGATATAGAAATCACATGCGAAATATTTGAGAGACGTGTATATGCATACGTACCTCAGATGATTTAATCCATAAGAAGCTAATGTTTCTATATCCTTTTCAGTGACCCATGTCGACCAATGCTCTTTAAGTTGTCGTTTGGCCTCGTGATGACCCAAAACCTGTGTGAACGTGTATTCATCTAAAGCTTCTTGTGGGGCACCAACGAATTGTTCGAAAAGGCTTGGCGTAATCCCTAATAAATACATAACATATATTAGCTTAAAAAACAAATATATTTATAAAACATATAATAGATATCACATGTTATATTCATGAGTACTATATGAAATTTAAGAGCATTCACTCTACGGAATAGAAAAGTAATTCGTGACGTAATGTAATTTATTGCTTACATGGTTCTAGCACCAACCTTACACAGAGAAGAATAAATCAGTTACTAGTCAAGGTTTGAAATATTGTTAAAAAAAAATAATAAATTCATAAATCGTATAATTACCATCCTCCAAGATTCACACCACGTACTTTTTCTTGTCCATAATTAAATACTCGAGAAGAGAATGGGATAGTGGTGATTTGAAAGCGTGAAGTGGAATAGAAAGGTTGAGTCGAACAACAATAAATCAAGGTCAAAATGACCGACAGGAAAATGTATTTTTTCGATCGCGATAATATCATTATTTTATTAGGAAAATAATTGCGAAATATGAAGATTTATTTTACGGTAAAGCCACAAGTCTCTAAAATAAATATATAAAAATAATGGTGGATTTTATAATAATTTACGCGATTAAATTTGGGTTTTCTTTTTTTTTTCTGTGATAATTGAGATATGAATAATAAAATTATTCAGTGAAATTCACATCAAACGATGTAAGAGTTTTTGTTAAAGTTTGACAATATTAAAAAAGGTCGTATTTATAATAAAGTCGAAAATTAGTTGGTACGCGAGCCAATTTGCCTTTGTTTACCGGAACTTATTGATAGCTAAGGTGATGTAAAATCAATAAACTTTTTGATAAGCAGATGAATTTTGACGCCGTCAAAATAAAGTGAAACATGATTAGGTTAAAAACCAGTATAAATGTAAAAACCAGATACAAAGAGTATATTTTTCTTAAATGATTGCAAGATTGTCTCTTCTGAAACATGACTGTCATCAAAGCGCCAGAACGCCAGTGATCAAAGAATATTACTAAACCGGTTTATTTTCCTTATTTAGAAGTACATTTAAGGCGAAATAATTAAATTAGAGGGATATGAAAAATGCAGATGACGTTGATCATAACGCAGCAGTATATATTTGGAATTATTATTTAAAGATTTCGAAATCTATTTGGCATCAAAATGACCGCCTCGATGAGGCGATTCTAACGAGCTCAAAATCGTTAAAATTCAACCATGGGATCCTAAGACAGTTAAGGATTTGTGGTGTTTTAGAATTGATTAAACTAATTCTAAAACACCCAAAAGGTAGTCGCGACCATGTGATCATCGACATTCCCGAACCCCTTCGGAAGCCATATACAAAATTTATGCAATCTTGCATGAATCATATGGGTTATTTGAAATACAGTAAAGTACCAGTGATTTCCTAGCAAATGACCCACTATTTGATTCATGCAAAATTGCATAAATTTTGTATATGGCTTCCGAAGGGGTTCAAAAATGTCGGCGATTACATGGTCGCGACTTTTTTTTTTTGCCGCCACTATTCTACCTTGACACAAATCCTTAACGATCTCGGGATACCATGAATATCCAAACGGACCAATGAATCAAAAGTTATTTATGGTTAAAGATTTTGAAATCTTTAAATAGCAATTCCAAATATCCATGTAAATCAACCCGTATTTATATATTGAACCTAGTGCCGCACAAAAAATGCGCGGCAGATCCTCGATTTTGATTGGCTAAGAGCGACGATCAAAAAATTAGGCCGGAATTACTCATAATTTTACTAATGAAATCGCAGCCGCCCATTAAGTGAAATTGTTCCTGAGCCAATTTTACCATAATGCGAGCTTTATTTATATACTGCTGCGCTATTATCAACGTAATCTGCATTTTTTATGGTCCCTGGAGATTCGACAAGTGATATAGTAAAATTTTGCTTCTCTGACATTTTTTTTAGTTTCTATTATAGGTTAGATCCGTACGTATCCTTTATTAAATGATCTACCAATTCTTCTAAACAAGAAAATGAAAAATGAATGGTTTCGATAATATTGGTTGCAAAAAAAAAAAAAAGTAATCCACTAGCAAAAAATCCATAGTGTACAATTATTCAAGCTATGAAAATTTTTTTCCGCGTATTAATTCAATATTGCGATTTGTGTTTGCCATTGGCATCCAATATAAATGTGGTAATAAGAACTAATTAGAGATGTAAATCAGAGCAGTGGATTTTTGTAGCATCTAAAATAGCGCTATTTTTTAGTAAAATAGCTAGTGACATTGTTTTGTACTAAGATGCAAATTTTGTTATTATCACACTAAACACATGATTATTGCCTTTGTTCTTTGACTGATTTGTTAAACAATTAGCAAAGATAAATTTATAAAGTAATATGTTAATTGTTTTTTTGAAAAAAAATGCCACCAGTTCTTTCACTTTTGGATTGGTATTCTCAGTACAAAATTGATTTTTATAAAAGTAAAGGAAAAGTTTATTAAATGTCTTGTTGATTATTATAAAAAACATAATCTAGATACATATCTAAAACTAATAAATATGAAAGACAAAAAAAAATTGCTGGATCTAGTAAAACTTTAAATCAACAAAATTTAATTATACTTTAAACCCAAGTAACTAATAAACAAGAAATTAATATCAATTTAATTAAGGTTTTTACAAAGATAAATGTTTTTTAAAAAAAGTTAAAAAATTAAAACTGTTTTTACAAAAATATTGCACAAATAGTATTTATTTTTTTAAAAAAAAATTATAAAATAATATACCATATACTGCTGCAAATAAGCACCTCTTTGACTATAATAAGGGGTGCTTATTTATAGTAGTACATTTTAAAAAAAATATAAAAAATCTAAAAAATTAAAAAGCCAATTTTTTTTATATACAAAAATCTGATAAATATTCAAAAATTGTTTAATATAATTTTTTTTATATTAATAATAAAATTATTAAAAAATAATTTTTTATATCATATATTTTTTGTAAATTTTACTGTGCTAGTTCTAGTACGCTTTTAAATTTTAATTATAATTATAACATATTAACAAATTTTGTAAATTAAAAGTTTGATTATATAAAACAAGTTTGGAGCTTGTTATAATTAAAATATTTTTATTTATTATATTGCAATAATTATTATTTATATTATAAGTGTTTTTTAAAATTATTACAAATTATTACTATATATAATAAGTTATACAAGTTTAGTTAAAATTTAAATTTTTTTTTATTAATTAAATTTTTCAAATTTTTAATTAAAGTTATAAAAATTTACTATCTAATTTCAATTACAAAAATTTGTTGTTATAAAATTTGTTTATCTTAAGTTATATCACTTTAAATTTGATTTACTTAATATAAAAAAAGTTTTAGATAGAAGCACTGTGCATTCACACTTATAGTAAAATTTATATATAAAAAAAAATTTTTTATCCAGGTGACTGGCGGATTGCCTATTAAAAAAACTATATTTATTTTTAATATAGAATATTTATATAGTAATTAAACTAGAATTTTTTAAGAATTCAAAAAATCATAAAAAATTTAAAAAAATATTTGAAGCTGTTAAATTTTTTTATAGAATTGTCTCTATTCTAAAATACTTTAAAATAGTATTTAATAAGGTAGATAATTTTAATTTAATACTGTACTAAAACTAGTATATTATATTAGTTCTAGTACAGGTAAATCTAATCCATTAAATTAGAAAAATTGTATATTTTTATTCAAGACAAAAAAGTTAGTATTACTATTGACAAAACAACTAATATATATGAAAAAAGTGTTGTTAATATACTTTTTAGTTTTAATAATTTAATTTTTTTTTTAATATTAAGATGACTACTTAGATTCTTGGCACTTTATTAGTACAATCAGTTAAAACATTGTCAAGAAAACCGGCTATACATGTTATATCAGATCACAAGAGTACAACTAGTCACATATATAACTTTTGGTTGCTAACTTAAGTAGTTCACTTGAAGTATTAGTGCTATACTAAAAGTTATATACTAGGTACTATACCTATAGTCTAACTAGAAAGCTATCTATTTTAAACTCTTTGGCTTCACTGATGTTATATGCTTTTTTCTAATATACTTTTTTATAGAATAATTTACTGTTAAAAACTCTAAGACTTTAGCTACCAACCTAATTTATTCTTTTAGTAAAGCTAACAAAATAGTGTATATCCTTATCTGTATATTCAGTAACTTCTTTTTAACTAGTACCTGTTGTACTGCCATCACTAGATTTGTATCTCAAGCCAACTTTTGGGTACTGCTATAATCTGATTTATATCTCAAGCTACAACCTTTCTAATTTGTTATCTATTACTTACTCTTGCTCTTACAAGGTTCATAACAACCCCAATACCTATAATTCAACCATCTTCTTACTTGAATTCTTTATTGGTTTTTTCCTTACTTCTAGCTAGCAACTCAGAAAGGTCAGTTTGCCTAGACTTTAGATACCTCATAATTACCCTTTTCTTGGTTTATACTTTTAAAATATATAATCTTTTTCTCTAGTGTGACTACTTAGCAGTCGGCTAGTGTGTCTGCCACTATTAAAATCTAGTTGCTTGGTTCTCTGATTTCAGGCTCTAGTTTGATTTTAGCTTTCTTGCTACTCCCAACTTAGAACTTTCCAAATAGGTTTTCAGTTATTTCGATTTCTTAAATTTATTATACCAAAGCTCTTATTACTAGATAGTATAATTGAGATTGTAGATTTAGTTCTATATCCAACTAATAATTGATAACTATCAACTATATATAGGCCTATTTTTCAAAATCATTGTTTGTAGAATTTAAACTCTAGATCTGCCACTTGGAGAAAGTGATAACTAAACCAGTTTTAATAATTTAACAAAACTTGTAAAAACCAAATTTCTTATAGAAGTTAACTTTTTTACTATTTTACAATTAGTTGTTTGATAATTTCTTTATATAACTTGCTTTTAAAAATATTATTTTATAGGATTTAATTTATAGTGCTATAGAACTATAGTACTAAGATATTATAACCAATTAAAATTTAAGATTAGATATAATATATAAATCATACCTTTGTATAACAAAAATAAGAAATTGGTTGATTTTTAGTATAACTAAGCAATATAGAATTATTATATGATTATAATATAAATAAATAACTATTTAATTCAATTTAAGCAAATTTGAAAATAGTTAAGGTTAGGTTAAGGTTTATAGTTTATATTAAAGTTAGATTAGAGTTAGAGTTAGAGTTTTTTTATATTATAATCTTATAATATTTCTATATTGTTTAGCTATACTAAAAAAAATCTATATACCCTAAAAGTCGCAGAAAACCAGCTAATTATGGCAGCATGCAGGCTTAAGATACTTACCTATCTAGGTAAAAGCAGCTACATAGCTTGAGATACAAACTCCTGGAAGTACGCTAAGTAGAAATTGAAGGAGAAAATCCCTCTGACAGGCACACCAAACTGGAAGCAATAAGTGCCTACCTAGTATATACTGATTTGGAAGTTGAAAATAAATAGTTTGTGGGTAATGTGGGGCCTTTGCAGTAGAAAGGGCCGAAACTCAAATTGATCAATTTTTTTTTAATTTTTAAACAAAAAAATCTTAAC